GTTACATATTTTCCTCCCTTATGAAGAACTTCAAAAATTCTGGGAGGAGTTTCTTGGATGTTAGACGGCATATCTATTGCTTTCCAGTATGTTTTGAAAGTAAATAGTGACTGACATTTGAGGTAGGCGACTGGGTGATTGGCTAACACAAAGTTCAGTGGTTTGAACCCAGTTTTCTTGTACCTTTTCTTGGTCAGAAATATGTGAAAATATGAATGATGTGCAATGAAAATATTTTCCACATACACTTTACATAATGTGTGAATGTGTTTGCTAAAGTGTGAATGGACAGAGTACACAGTGCTTTACAACCACAGAGCATTTACCCATTTACCGACCATTTAAAGGCTCTTGTTTGTACCAACACCGATCATTACTTGGACCAATAGTCAGACTGAATTACCATTTCAATCTGTTTGACGGTGCAGACGACTATTAGAGTGACTTAAAACCAACAATCTGATTCACACTCACCTCCTGCAGCAGTTAGGTCGGTGCTGAACAAGGGTTTACTGGTTTCAAATTCAACTTCTGTCATGATAAATGGACCACGGTATTTTCATGAAAAATGCAACCCACATTCAAGTGATGTTTTGTCTCGGACGTCATTTTACGTAAGATGCTGTTAAACAGGGGAGAAAGGGAACCGTGACTCTTCAGACTCTCTAAGATTTGACCGATGCATCAAATTGACCAGTAACACAAGGAGGTAACATAAAGGACAAGCTATTGTTACAAGAATTAAAAGACTTACATCTTTTTTTTTCATGTGAGAATAAATTTCTAACTTGCTAACAGCAAATCAAGCCAATGTGACTGACCTAACATAAGATCAGGTGTGACATTTTCCTGAGTGATGTTGATTCCAGGTTATTGACAATATTATTAGTAAATGTGTCATACACTATTCAGTGGTCAGCTGTTTTCTTCTTCTTACTTTTTCAAAAAAAGTCTTACTTAAAACGTCATATCCTACACTCCTGCCTAATCTCTTCATAATTGTTGACCAGTTAGAGATTCTGAGCCGCAGTCGACCGCGGCGATAACTACACTCAAAATATCAGGGAAGAAAAGTTGATGTTGATCCAAGCCTGAGTTGTGTTTAACATCCCTGAACACCTGGCTGCAGCTGTGATCCTGTTCAGTCCAGGCTCTACAGACAGTGACAGTGTTTGTGGTGATTGCATTAACATATGCAAGCTCATGGGGGAGTCGGTTTTGGACCAGGGAACGATGCTTTGCTTTAAAAATACAACAAAACAAGACAGGGCAGTGAAGGGAGAGACAAAAGACAATGAACAAAAGCTCAGCGCTCCCTGTATTTTTCTCATTAGCTCATTTCATTTCCTCCTTCTCTTTCCCCTTTTTTTAATTTCCCCCAGCATGTCTTTTCTTCAGTCCCTGCAACCGTTCCCATTCTTCCTATCGCTAAACACAACTGCAGGCTGAAAGGAAGCAGTCATGTGGTGGTGAACCCCAGCAGCTTAACAGGTGAGGGAGCAAATGGCGAGATTAAGGATTTAGCTTCTCCCCTGGCACATCACAGAATATTTCTGAGAACACACACACACACATGCTTTTTCTTTACCTGACCTTTAACTGCCTCCTCTGTTTTATTATTGTTTGTGACGAGAATGACCCTGCTTTAGCTCAACATGTGAATTACCAACCAGGCTACTACTACTGATGTAACGTGTTATAAAAACAGGTGGGAGACTCTCTTTGGCTCCACAGTTCAACCAAATGGATGTGTTGTGTTTTCCTGAACCTGTTGTTAAACTGTGGTCGGTGAAGAAATACAACAAGTATCTCGTTCTTTCAGCGTGACCTCCAGGTCACAGTGTTTGATACACCGCTCATTTCAGAAGTGCTTGGAATATAAAAGAACAAAAGTAGATGTTTCAATTATTCAGCCTCCTAAAGGTCCCAGAGGGACTAGTACATTCAGTGTCACCAGTCCATCACACACAGACAAAGAAGCAGTCACGGTGACAGCCACAGCTTTTGTCACTTTAGTCTCAAATAACCTAATCCCCAATCTGCATGTTATTGTGACCACACACTGAAAAAAAACCACTTTGTCGCACCTCAGTTTGAACCAGTGACCTTCTCAGTGTGAGGCAACGTGAGCAACAAGTGTTTGTGAAGTGCAGTCTCAAATAAGATTTTTACAATAATCCTAAAATCTTTGTTTTTATGCTCAACTGTCGATCTGGGGCAGCCGTGGCCTGGTGGTTAGGGAGGGGTCGCAGGTTTGAATCCAGGTGCCACTGAGGTGCACTGAGCATTGCTACACCCCCACACACTGCTCTCCACTCACTAAGGTGGTGGGTTAAAAAGGCAGTGGTCGTGTTGTACTCAGTGATGATGAAGTTGGTTTGGTTGGTGACCATGTTCATTTTTAATCTCGTTTCCCAAACTGCAGAGCAGGAGGTAACGTTCCTAAAACCACTGTTGGAATGTGAAGGTGACACAAACACTAACTCCTCCCCGTCTCCTACACTGATGGGTTTCACCTGTGGATCAGTGCTTTCACCTGTTTCACCTGTCTCCAATCAGCCCAAGTTTATTTAGTCTCTGCCAATCCCTGTGTTCGTGTTGTTTGTCTGCCTGGTAGTTGAGGTTGAGTTTGCTCCTCAAACTTTTCACTGTTTGATTTCCCTGGGGTTTTTTTTTTTTTTTTGTTTGTTTGTTTGTTTGTTTCAGTTTTCTTTTTTTTTGCACTAGGACTGCATTCAAATCACTTACCATGAACTGTGACTAAAGAATTAAAAAAAAACATATTTCTTTGTGGATTTGAATATGCGTCAAAAATATGTGGCCACTCTGTGCTGGTACAACATGTACTCACGCCACAGTGTGTTACGATTCAGACCATACAGAATGAAGACCAACTGAGTCCAGATCAAGGAGAAAAGTACATCACTCCCTGAACCTGGCTGTGTCATCAAAACAGATTTTTTAAAAGGAAAAGTTTGAAAATGTTTATTTTATTAGACATCATTGTTGGTCTGCCTCTCAAACTTGTGACGTGGTTACACTTTTTCAAACCCAGAAAGGACAGCAACAGCTGTGGAATCACGCAGTGTGTCTGTCTGTGTTGTCTCGCAGCAGTGACGTCTGTGACAAGAGCAATCAAAGACAGACAACACAGGCAGTGTGTATCCAGTGTATCCAGCTCAGGTTGAAGCTAACTGCTCCTGCAATGAGCTTTTGGAGAAACTATATAAAGCCAATTTTAATTAACAGTTTTAAATGTAAGAGTTATGTACTCCTCCGTGCATTACGCTTATTTTGTCTGTAATTTATGATTTTATTTTTTCCTCAAATATATAACTTAAAGACAAACAATTACATTTGTTCAAATCCCTGCAGTGATGCTTCTCATCCATGAACACATTTCTCTGTCCTATTGGTAAAAATAATAGCCTGTTTTGGCTTCCAACTTTAATTAATCTAACTCAGATTAATCATCTGAGTTAAGCCTTTAAAAAAAGTATGCGGCTGCACATTTTGTCTTCTCCCAAAGGTGTAATTATCAGGTGTAATGAGCTTTTGAAACGAGTCAGGAGTAATGAAAGATACATTAAAGCAGGTTTGAGAAATGAACAACTCTGCTGACAAATCATTTGTTCTTTCACAGATGAAATAATAGAGTCTGGATGTTTTGTTTTTTTTTTGTTTTTTTTTTACTTGGGGAGAAATGAGATTCCGTTACTTTCACAAATACTCATCTGTTCCTGTTCCTGATGAGATTGATAACAACACGCTAGAATCCAGGAGTTTGAGCAAGTTTGATTGTCTGGATACAGATCTGCATGGATAATAAGAGCTGGAATCAGAGACACATCTTCAAACCTCATTTACATGAGGATTAAACCAAATCCCGCAGCCTGACCTTGAAACTGTGTTATCAGGACCAGACTGGATCGACGGCTCATCTACCGCTACTGTATTTCAACCAATTATTGTCCAGGACAGAACTGCAGATTAAGACTCAGCTGTTTAGCAGAAGTTGGAGAGGGAAGAAAAAGTGCAACATTCAGGGAAAGAACAGATGGTTCAACAAGTGGCTGAATCAGCGGTGGAAATGGAGCATGGAGAGCTTTAATGTTATAAATGAGGCTCAGCAAAAGTATAGATTTAAAGACCTACTTTCTGCACGTCTCCTGAGCCACAGTCACCAGCTTCACTGGAGCGTTCGGACTCTCATTCAGTCACAGCCAACATTCTCAACTCAACCCTCACATTCACAGCCCAGAAATGCCATTTAATTAAGTGTGATTTTACTAAAATCACACAAAAACCTATGGAAAATCATGTTCAAATATATAAATAATGCATATGACATAATGTGAATGACTAAAGATAATACTGCTGATTGGACATATTAGCATAATGGTCTGATTAGGAAAGGACGTAATGAACCAATGGTGCTTTTTGGTCCACAAGCACAATACACGACTACAACTATTTATCATTTCAACAATAGATAACTGTTATATTAAGTGCCAGTGTTGAGGAGTACAGGAAATCATTTCTAAGAGCATACATATTCAAATTGGTTTATGTTATGAAATGTATGCTAACATTAAAGCCACAACATTCTGCAGATGTAGAGCTCCACACAACGGCACAAACTCTCTCTTGTAGTACGGCCAACTGCTGCACGTCAATCTTTGGCCATTTTCCAAAGGTTCATTGTGTTGTGTTTAGTTGCACTGATCTTCAATATGGAATACATTACTTGTTGTGAAAATTGATCTGATGGAGTTGGAGAATTGCACTCACATTAAATAAATCTAAAGACCAGTGTAACTGTATTTCTAGCACTGGATGCTGGAGAGTGGAGGTTTGGAAAACATCGTACTTTATTCTTAAAGCACTTCTCAAAGTCAATGATATGCAGACCTTAAATTTGATCTCAACCAAAATGATGTCATATCTTAAGCCAAAATGACAAATTATTGAGGTATTATATTTTATATATATCTACTTACACGTTGGTGGTGAAGATGCCGTAGATGAGATCCTGCTCAGGCAGGTAGAAGGTGCTCTGCAGCTCATTGTAGTAGAAGGGAATCTCTCCAGAGCGAGAGCAGTTGAGTCTGGCCTTCATGAATGTGGTCCAGGTGTCCTCCAGGAGAAACCGCCCACCGATGTCGTTTTTACAGACGCGCGCTATGCGGGAATAGACCGTCTTCCCACAGTCGTGCTCCACGGCGTTCTCTCTCAAGAAGAAGAAGGTGAAGAGGCCGATGTCGTAGGCAGAGATGAAGTGAGGCTCTGGGCAAAGAAGAACAAAACAGCAATCATTATGTGAGGACTCTGAGGAAACTATAAATAGTTTCTTTTTCTCTTTAATATTCTTGCTTGAAAGCCTTATAATTAATTGCAATGGGAACATCAATATTATGGCCTTTAACCTCTGCTCACGGTAGTCTAAAGAAATAAGGGTGTCAATGTCAAACGTTGAAAAAAAGAGACAGTGGAGGGTGAGGCAGAGGATAGAAGATAAAAAATGGCCGCTAATAAATCTGTCTGATGTTTTGATGGTAACTCTGTACAGCTATGTCTGTTTAACTGAACGTCTGAGTGGCCTTTATGGCCCTCGTCGTAACATCAGGACTGATTTATCTGCCTGGCTGCTGGGTGTGTTCTCAGGTAACAGAGAGAGAATAATGGTTTTAATGGAATCTCTGTACAATCATAATAAGAATATTCTTGACTAACGTTTTGTTATATGGATATATTTTCTTGAAGCTAACCCTAGCTAGCTGCTGACTGATTTTCATACAGTATGGATTTCAGGGCTAGCATTTTGCTATGTTGTCTGCATTTGTATTTAGCTGACCTTGTTAGCTTATAGAAGCTTTAAAGATAAGCATCCAATGATTTAACTTTAGGCAGTGGTAGGTAGTAGTGTGTTACATTTACTCAGTTACATTTACTTTAGTAAGTTTGTTAAAATAAAATACTTCTAGGAGTAGTTTTAAATAACTATACTTGAGTAGATGTATAAAGAAGAAACAGTACTCTTACTCCGCTACATTAGGCTATACTGATTTGTTACTTTTATCAGACATACTGGTTAAGCTTTAGCTATCTAGTATCCAGTTACTTTATACATGCATGATCCCGTATCTCTACTTTCATTTTAAGGTAACAGTACTTTTACTTGAGTACAATTTTTGGCTACTCTACCCACCTCTATTAGTCTGGTTATTAGCCAAACATGTTTTTCTTTTGCTGAATTTCTTTTTAAAAACATGCTTCAAATGTGTTGGATGTAATGGGTTAGGAAAACCATCAAATGGAGTGATTACATTGATTTACAACACAAATTAAACTGCATTATTTTATGCACAGAATGCATTTATATTAAGTGTTGGTACTGCATGCAACTTCATTTAAGTCCTAACAATAACAGTAGCTGTAGTTGCCTTTGGTATTTTATATTTTTACTTTACTGAATGTAGTTTCCCTCTGAAAAAAATTGGACAGCCCTGATTTATAGCATGTTATTATGAAAATAGTTTTGGCTTTACAGTGGAAGAAAATTGCAACTGGCACTTTTTCAAGGCTCTCAAGGCTTAATCATTGAGGAAAACGGTTTCATCTTGGTGTGGAGAAAATTAAACCATCAACATGATTATAAAAATAAACATTGGAATATTGCAAAATGTCTTTTGCTTTTGGAAAATTTAGTTGTAGTT